CGGTGTTTGGCGGGAAATGCAAATGAATTACCATTTCTACGGAACAAGTCGCCACATGTTCCAATCCCCAACCTGGAAGGCCAGGAGACTGTGTTCGTCAGACCTCCAACCATTGACCAACCTGGTGTGAGAGATTCTGAGTGTCGCGAAAAACTCTTCAGTATAGCTCAATGGATCGCTGAGGTGCGCAAACCGTCACACCACGGTAACGTCCAGTCTCTTCGTGACGGTCTCTTTGTGGCGAGGTACGTGGAATGGTTTTTGGAAGAAATAACTGACACGTGACTGATGAACTGATTACACTCCAAAGGTTGCGTTGGCTTAGTTGCATACTCCGCATGCCATTTGACTGACTTGCTGGAAGTGCCCTTTTCGCACAGCCACTGGAAGGGTGAGAACGAGCTAGGAAGGTCAAACAATGACTTAGCAACAAAGTATGAAGGCCATTACCAGCAACCTCAGAAGCGGCGGTCATTGGCGTCTCTCTGGATGGGGACACTGAGGTGGGACACATTAGTGGTTAGGGACATTATTAAACGTGGTCCAGTTGCGCCCTAAATGGAGTTCATGCATCCTAACAGTTGCCACCAACAAATGAACAGCTCCTTACGCGATCTCCACAAAGAAATATCCACTGACATCGCTGTATCTACGCATCAAATATCAGTTATATCAATTATATATATATATATATCAGTTATATCAGCCACCCCACTTCCCCAAATTATCGACAAACGACAGCTACAACCACTCCATGGCAAATGCGCGGTTTTTACGGCTGATGATGATGACGCACAATGTCGAAGAACAGCGAAGTGATAACTGAGCCATTGACGCAGTCGGAGTCAGCTGCGTACCTCAGAAGGCACAACAATCTTTAATCAAAGCTCGGAATCGGTGGCTGATAGCTCATAGTAACTGGTCCTAATGAATTCATGGTTGGCTTATTGTTGGTGGCCTCCAATAAACTAGATGTGGGCTCGTACTGATCAGGAACAGACTATATTAAGCACACAAGTGAAATCGCTCTGTTATCCGTACGCTGAGCATCGACCCAAAATCCATGTAACTGTACTTTTTTCGACCTAGCTTTCATTTCACCCAAAAGGGTTACTATATCGGCTCCACTTGCGACAGATTCCCGTAAAGCCCATCCTTGTCAGACTCAGAACTGCAGCCCGTCAGACAAACACCATTAACAGCACCGATCTGCATTGATCTTAATCAGGATAAACCATACAGATGACCGTAAAGCTCACAGACGACTATCTAATTGGATCCAAAGGACCTTCTTCAGGCTTGAGATAAGTGCGATCCCCACACCGTAGATACCACGAGCTATTGTGCCAGGATTATCAAACATTCGAAGAGTGAAATGTGACATCTGAGCTTATCCGAAGCGGCTGGAGATACGCCACCGAAGTGGGATGTTGCATTTCGTGTTTCGGAGACACAACATACATCTGCGGACAGAGAAAGCGAGGCCTTAGCAAGATATGCCTGGTGTCCAATTTAACAGATTACAAAAACTGAAGGCTGTAACGTCTATCACGACCCTGAAGATGGCTGATGAGTTATTTTAGTTTACTTGGCTTGGCGATGCTGAAACAATGATTAGGGAAATAGCTAGGTTGACCGCAACGCACTATTTGAAGGGTGGGAAAGGATGTGGGTGAGGGCCAATAAACGGGCCGAGGAAGGGGGTCTGTTTGAGGTACTCCACGATGAGCCTTTACTCAACAGTGACCCACAATGTAGGGGACCCTACAATTGACATCCGCACCGTCGGACAGGCTAGTTGAGGAACGACTCTACCAGGAGCCGCTGACTCAATAGTTGGACACGCTCGGCTGCATGGATTTGACTAACCCGATGGCACAGAAAGTAAGGCATTATTGTCTCAATCTAAATTTAGCTGCGTACAGCATGTACATTTTGAGCAAAACAAGACCGTGGCTTGACCGTATTGGATATTGTGTCGGCAGTCACGGTCAACCATTGGACGATCGGAGTGTGCGGTTTTTAGGGCCGACCTTTTCTAACCCGTCCTTCCTCGGGGGAATGCAGCATCGCTGCTTCCATAAATATGGACATGCTGGTCGCCTGGGGGAAACACCTTACTGCCTTCACACTCCTGTCGCAGAGGACAGTACGACTTTACCTCCAGGCCGCCTCGTAGCAAGATTACTCGTATTGCGGGGTCTCGCTGCTCCCCTTTGGCCTTCCTGGCATGGTTGAACCTTGTGGAACGAAGTTCCAGCCAGTGTAGCCCGCGGGATCATTGCAGCACTGAAGCCCGACCACCACGTCAAGGTGGCAGCTTTAGGTCGGGTGATACACGAGCGCGACTGGTCCATTTCTGCTAGCGTCACTAACCATTGGTGAGATGAGTCCCGGGGTCCCCATCCAGGAAGGCGGCAATTGCCGACCCGACTAAGTTTACTGGTTAGTGTTTTCTTACTCCGTAGCCAGGTCGTACACTGTCCACCTCTCGGTCGCTTCTACTTAGAACAGGGCTGGGCGAAAAGAACTCCGGGAGGCGAACGGTCTTCCGGCACGGGGGGCACATGTCCAAACCAGCGCAAACTATGGGGCGCAATTCATTTATCACAGGAGAGTTCATTTTTCCCAGGACTATTTAGCGCACCTTGGCATCACTAATCCGGAGGTCAAAAACTGACATCTTCCGTGTGTCCTCTGCGCGTACAGGCCACGTCTCTTTTCCATAAAGCAGTATGGATCGTACTGCCGCATTGTAAACTCTGCCCTTGACAGACGAACTGATGTCACGTCGGCGCCATAGGTGTCAGAGGTTGGCGAAAGGTGTCATGGCCTTTCCGATTCGAAAGATCATCTCAACTCCAGCTAGTCCACAGAAATTATATAGCTGCCCAAGTAAATGAATTTATCTGCCACATCGATTGGCTCGCCTGCAAGCATGAGATTTGGGTTTAATCCCCCCCCGGTCTTTTAGCAGTACTTTGCAGTTTGCAGATGTAAAACGCATGCCAAGCCGTGCGGCAGGGCTATTTAGCTTACGCCAACCAATCTACCAATCCTCCAAATATCATTGCGTACTGACGCATCAATTGTATCAACTACCTTCAATTCGTAGCTATCTAAGCCCACCTACCGAATCATCTATGAACGAAGCTTTGGAAGCTATAATTACTGTGTAACAAGTATGCAGTTTTCACAACCGAAGATGATGATGGTAATCCAGCAAAATAACCCTCAATAACCTCAACAGCCCAACTTGTATGAAAATAGCCTTTGAAGACACCGCAAGTCCGTCAGGCCAAAACACTTTTCTATTGGTGACATCCTAACCAACCCCAACTTGGTCAAGTTTTAACCAGGGAAAGATCGCTCAGTGGTTAGAGCGCGCATTCACTGACCGGAAGATCCGTGGTTCGAACCCGACCTCTGAAAATCGACTTCCCCTGTCTAGGCTTAGACAACCTGGCACTATCCCAGTCCTCGTGCTTCCTTCAGGTGACATGGTAGCTAGGCACTAAAATTGTTACAGCTGAACGATCTATATGCCAATGAAGAATCGAAAAAATGAAGTCGAAACAACAAAAATCACCTCTGACGGGCCTCGGGTTTAGGAAATATAAGATCATCATCATCAATGACAGCAACATCAGTGTTGGCACTGATGCTTCACTGCCGTACAACCATAAAGTTCGTTTAGTTATATATATATAAAAGCCCTAAAGTGAAGAGAAGAGAAAAAGAGTGAGTGAGGGAGGGGACCTAGTGCTGGCCTATGTCAAGCATACTGAGGTGCCTACACCTCCAACCGCTCAATCAGACAATCTGGAAAGAAACTGACAGTACGAACGCCACTAACATCGATTAGCCGCCATTTCTTGCAACGTCTCCAGCCAAACACAGACGTGGTCACGGGGACCCCATCCTGGAAGTCGCAAAACACCAACAACACCCAAACTCTTCGTGATCCCTTTCACGCCTTTTTGCCAAGTCATTTGCTGTCCACCTCGCGGTTTGCGCCATCCCGAAGGAGGCACGGAGAACAACACTCGTCTTGGTAGACGGTGTTTTGGCATGCGTAGCACATGACCGAGCCATCGTAGTCGATGATGCTGGATGTTTTCCCGGATTGAGGTGCCTGCAGCACAACCAAATACCCGTTTTCTAATCGCCTCGTTGCTGATACGCTGACGCCATCCACAACCAGCCACGCTTCTGAGGCATCGGTGGTCGAAAACCTGAAGACGCCTCACATCATCTACCCGAAGAGGCCATGTCTCGCACCCATACAACAACACAGCCCTTACTGTAGCCTGGTACACACGACCCTTAAGATCCAGTGAGATGCCTTTTTGACGCCACAAGTGACGCAAATTAGCAAACGTGATTCGAGCCTTTGAGATTCTTGCACTGACTTCATCAGACACACTTCCGTCAGAGCTAATACAACTACCGAGGTATGTAAAGTTTTCCACAATCTCCAGTGGTTCTCCTTGAACTGTAAGGGATATGTTCGCAGATGGCACGTTCTGAAGCAGGACTTTGCACCTTGAAGGTGCAAGGCGCATGCCAAAAGATGGTATGATGGTGATCAGTCGATTCAACAGGGTTTGTGCTTCGCTTTGATCTTCAAAGGTGAGGCCGATGTCATTTGCGTACTCCAGATCGACAAGGCTCTCGCCAGCAACAATTTGAACATCGATGTTTTGAAAACCTTCCACTGTTCGCCTCATTATTTCATCGATGACGAAGTTGAACAAGAATGCGGAGAGTGGGCATCCTTGTCTGACACCACTTTTTGTAGATAATCAGTTCTGAAGAGCTCAAGCAGTTTCTGCAATCGTTAGGTACCTGTAACTGCCAAACCCGGGCTCGACGAAAGACAAATTAAGGGTACGCTCTGATTCAACCTACATCTCCACCTTAGTATTTGGTATTCAACTTGCTGCATTTTATTGATAAAAGTGCTAAAATATGGCACCAAAATATTGTGTTCAACTTACCAGATGACGCATACCATTAAGGTAGTGGTATACAAGAGGATAACAAAGGACGAATTTGCAGCTGGTTATGATGGTCGATCCAAGTTGGAGATTCCGCACATACTCCAGCATTTGATCATACTGACCCGTGAAGAAGAAGGCTCCACATCCGACAGCCGCCCAGACTAGAGGAAAGGAAGAAAGGTTGTTGAGTAAGGTCCCCCAGGAACCATGATCTGTGCGAAACACCAGTGATCATTGAAGTTATTACCCTTAAGAGCTATCCCTAGTGAATTCTGATCCACTGGTTGGAACATTGGGAGTTGGGCACTTCTAAGACAATCCCGAAGGCTATTGTCCACGTACGAGTTCGGGATAGCTAAGCGGCTAACTCACGGAATGACTGAACGGAACGCCCGTGGTTCGAACCAAACATTTGCATCTCGATTGCTCCTGTGGTTGGGAAATCTGGCAGTATCTCAGCCTTCGTGCTTTCTTCGGGTGGGGTGGTAGCTATGCGCCGAAAAAATGTTACAACTGAACAACCATTACCGTTATTTTTTATCACACGAACTACGACACTTACGTCAAGCTTCAACAAAAATCGTGAATTTTAAAATCATTGAGTGCAAACTACCGGGGAGCAACAGACTTACAGGGTTATGGATAGGAATGTCAGCCCGCAACACCAATAGTAGTTAGAACCACAGTAACGGAAAGGTTCTTTAAAAGAGACTTAGCGTCAGGTGTTGACTCCGTCCGTCACACTACCGTCAGAGTTAACGCAGCTTCCCAAGTATGAATACGGTGCCTCGAACGTCAGCGGGCGCATGAAAGTATACGAGGAGCTTCCCAAAAGCCTTCTTGCAAGCAGTGGCACTCGACAAAGATGTCCACTCTCTGCATTTTTGTTTAATCTCGTAGTTGATGAGATAACGGGGCGAACACAGGAACGTCTCCAAAACCCCGGTGTTCTTACCTCTCTTCGGCCTGGAATATGCAGGTGACGTTGTTTTCAATCCTACGAGCAGAAAGTGCTTACATGAAAGGCTAACCAAGGTTATCCGATTCTTTGGCATGTACTTCACGTCCGCAAAATACAATCTTGCTGCCGGACACGTCCCTAAGATTTCAAGGAGGGACAATCGATATGGCGGCTAACTAGTGGCGTCAATGTCGTTAATTTCTATCAAGAATGTCTGACTCAGTGTTCGAGTGTACGCTGTGTTTGCTGTAGGTTCCCTGGGTTCGCGCCTCACTACCTCCTTCGTTCCACTGCAAACCTCTGGATGAAATAAATTTACACGACTGTACGGCAGTGGAACACCAGCACCTCCATATTCCTGGCCGAAGAGAAACAATAACATCGGGGTTTTGGAGACATCCAGGTGTTCGCCCCATTATCTCATTAATAACGAAATTAAACGAAATGTAGAGAGTGAACATCTTTCTCGAATACCACTCCTTATAAGAGGACTTTCGAAGAGCTCCTCGTATACTTTCACGTGCCCACAATCTTGTGAATACAAACAGCGCATGATACCCACGATCTCCTCGGACGTAATCTGTTGCGCGTGTTGAAAAGAACCAACTGGTCGACAAAACCGAACGCACTTTTGAAATGAAGGAACGCCACGATCGTAGGGTCCTACATGTATATGTGGTCCACATATCCCCTTCCCGATCGAAGTCCTGCTTGCTCTTCTCGGATCCCGTCTTAACGCACCTTCATAAGAAGATGCACACAACAGCGATACAATGTATGGTTACAAGTGGGAGCGAGATGGCCCAAGTGGTTTGGGGCAGAAATTTACTGACCGGAAGGTTCGTGGTTCGAACCCAACCTCTGCCTCTCGACTTCCCCTGTCTAGGCTTGGGCAACCTGGCAGCATCCTAGCCCTTGTGCAACCTTTGGGTGGTATGGCAGTTAGGCTGCACGGGCCTCTATCGTTTGAACTATCTGGTCGCACCATCTCTCTCTGTCCACACACAGGCTACGTTTGAGCTTTTGTCTAATTGTACTTCACACCAGAAGGGATAGAACACCTAGCATCAAGAAGTGACGGTGACATCTGGTGGCAACCATGTGCGCGCTGGGAAGCACCACAAGCAGAGTATCGCCGTCGCATATAGCTGTGGTTATAGTAGTAGTTGACCAGGTGGCTGTTGGTCTGTTCGCTGAGCTTGGCAACTGATTTGCACATTTTTATCAACGCAGAAAGACCGACAACACAGTCGGCTGTTTACAGGTATCCAGTCGAGTAATCAAACATCATGTCGAGAACTTAAGACTACACAAACACCTGTGCGAGCTGCTTCAGTCACTCAAAGTTCGTAGTAGTAGCGTCTAGTTAGAGCAAGTACTGTAAGCTCAACAATTGCGCTTGGATCCACATTCGAAATTCAGAGATGGAAAAGACGCCAACCGACAAAGTACCTACAGTACACATAGGCGCAGCTTTCCTTGGCCGACCTGTCTAAGTTCTCACGTTAACGGCCGCAATGAAAACAGAAAGGGGACTGAATGGCGAATGCGGAGCGGCAGATTTGGGTGGCGGCGTGCAGTGGGTCATTCCCATAGATACATGAAGGAGATGCCTACAGCTGGGGTCTACATTAGTGACTGAAAATCAAGACGGGATGGGAGTTGGAATGACAATTAATAAAGACGAAGGGTGTCAGTATTTACATATTTTTGCTCATCCGCCCTTTTATATGCGGAGAATAAGGCGACTCGGCTGATGTAACCACGCGATGGCCGATGTGGCATGAAGCTACTTTTATCCGTCAAGTTTCGCAGGTGTGAACACACATTTACCATACATTACTCATACGGTTCCGTTGGCCCATCACGTGTATTTGACACTAAGGTGTATTTCCTGTTACCAAACGCTTTGACAATAACGCGACAATCCTTGCCCATGGATAATCGGAAGCGAAGCTACCCCGTACGAGGATCATTAACTATGATCTCCCAACCAGTTTTTCCACGATGGACCTGGTATACATGGACAGCGGTTTGGATCACTTCAATATGTGCGCGACGGACAGTACACGATGGAGCGGGAAAGGGGTGCGCTGAGTCTTGGTAGTAAGGGGACACAATGGTCGTCGACATCGTCCACCCGTAACGACCTTTCAGTTTCAAGGTGCCAAGCTTTCAGGAAGGAGAAAGAGGGCAGAAATACTGCCAGGTTTCCCAGGGAGCGGTCAAGATGCCAAGTTTGGGTTCGAACAATGATTCGTAAGCTACCGAGCTATCTCCAGTGCAAAAGCGCCACTAGTCGCACGTCATCACCATATCGGCGAACAGCGATAATCCAATTTCGCGGACAGCAAACGCTCGTGGGGCTAACATCATCGTCAAGCTCTCCCTGATATCCCTATCGGTCTCTCTCGGCCAAATTTGCAGGAACCAGACCGAATTACGCAGTTCCTACAGCCGAATCAACTCGCCAAATGGACAAGAAACTGATTTGCTATCAAAAGTCACTTCGGCATTGCCAATCCAATATTCGCATAATTCGATGGCACCAACCGTCAAACGCGAGTGAGCTACGTTTGTCTTCAACAAATTGACCAGGGTTAATAAGGAAGAAACAGCGCTCTGCCGGCTGCTACGGCGTAGAACCTGACTTCCATCGGCAGGTTTTGCATTGACCCTTTGACGCCAAACTTGAGGGAAATCTAAACGGCTTTAGTGATTGTAGCACCGCTAGCAATGCCGACATCTGAAGTAGCACAACCGCGTGGGTAGTAATTCTGCCTATCTCAAGTTCAGGTTGGAAAGCATGACTTTGTACTTCACTGGAACAGCTGCTGATCCCTGAAAGGTCCTCGATAATTTAATTAAAGTAAAGCGCATCTGATAATTTTGTGAAAGGAACTCGCCATACGATATACGTTTGTAGTCACTTATGCCTACTGGCTATAGACATTCAGACTTATCGATTAAAATACTCGAGCACCCCAAAGTTAGGATTACTCTAGAAATCAGCGCGGACCTGCGACGCGATAACCCTGATCAAACCTCCATTTTAGAATTCAGTTAACATAATAATAATTCAGTTGGATTGAAACCTACCTAGAGCCATAGCGATACCCGTGGCACGGTGAAGGAACGAAAAACGCATCACAGCAGGGGGTGAGTAAATCTGAAGGTGAGGAGACCAAGGACGCTTTTTCGTAATGTTCCTTTCCCAAAAGGACTGCATTTCCCGTTCCGCCTGGTCACGAACCTGCTGGCTGGTGCTCCCCTTGTTAACCTTGATAATCCCTCGAAGAGATCCATTCAGTCGTAGTAAACCTTTCTGGCCAGTAGTTGTCCCGGTGTGTAAGCGTTTACACAATAACGGAGTCACTCGTTTACAAGAAAACCCCAACAAGACAGAGGAAAGGGACATCGCGCCGAAAGACTTAGCACACTGAAAGCACTGCCATCAAGTTCCAGGTCAAGATGGTTAATCGTGGACTCAGATACCTGGTAACGTGAAAACCACAAGGAAAGTCCACTTGTACTCTTCGACGCTTTTAAAACATTTTACCAAGCCTTGGGTGGTCATAAGCATTTCTGGAAACAATGTGTGGCAGCTAGCGCGGTACGTTCGAAGTTCGTTTAATTTTTCGCAAGTGCAAATTTGTGAAAGACCTCTTTATCTGTTTACGGAGTTAACACGTATCTTTTAGTTGATTTTTTTAACTCTAATATAACCGGTGCCTTAAAAGCCTCTATCAGATTGTACTTCTTTTCTGCGGTGCACCCACTTTCAATCATGAGCCAGAAAATGACAAGCGGCTCTCGTTTACAGCTATCGGTGGACCAAAATCGATGTGGGCGAAATGGATGTTCATCAAATGTGCGTTTGCAGAACAACCAGATAAGTTAATCATCTCAATTTCCTAACCTGTTTGTCTGCGTCAGCTGCCTCCACCTTTTGGATGCTGTGCATTCCACAACTCACAGGCCAGACGTCAAAAATTAAACTAAATCTTCACATCTGAGTGAAATGAACCAATGTGAATGTAATACTTCAACCGGGGTACTTGACTGAAACATCCTTCCAAAGCTCTGGAAGGCATAAACGCAGAGAACAAAGTGGACTGGACGAAATCGATAATGGACATTCATTCCCGGACGAATACCTATTGCCGTTCATTCCGGGTCCTTTGGCTGCGAAAGGGGTTGCTTAGCTGTCTGATGCGGGAATCAAGACCACCACAGCATCTCTGGTTGGGTGTCACCTAAGACAGCAGGCTGATTATCTGGGGTTCAGCCTCCAGAAATATCACGCCAACAAATCCTGCACAGTCGCTCCTTAAGGGATTCGTCACAAAGATTGAAAATGAGACCCTTTTCGCATGGCGCTTACGCGGAAATGGAAGCAAGTGAACATCTGGGCTTCGAGTTACCTTCCCCCTTACAAATGATCTTGGATTGAGCTGCCAGAGTTCAAAAGACCTACTCAAAGTCCAAGCGTATATCCGAAGATCACCGTCACGAAAAGCGCAGCAGTGAAATCAACACCCGAACCACCAGTTCTAAGATGGATTGCGTCAGCTGTGCGGAGGCAAGCAACGATGTCTCCTGATGAGTCAACCTCAAGCTTTGATCTTGACGTCTATGGTTGCTGTGACTACTCCACAACCACGGAATATGCTAAAGTACCAGCCTCTAGATCCACTCCCTCAGAAATACCTGTCCAATTGTGGAGCCTCGTCAATCATGACGCCGATGGCTGAAGCCACGAACCCGGAAACCCCTAGTATAACGGGTTGGCCAAGTGATTGTGGACGACCTGGGAGTCCATGTAAGCACCAGGGGAAAGTGACTGCGGTAAAATAAGCTGCGTAAACCCTGTCTCACTGAAAGGCTGCTGACTAGATTCGAGTTGTAGTCCAACGCAAAAACGAGCCTCGAACAAGTATGTTCTTAAGTGATGCTCTCCAATCAACAAGCGACCCAGTGGGACCTCCTAGAGACACCTGACCAGCCAAACCGCAGCAAAAAAAATCAGAAAGCAAACGCAAGAATGATCACCGCGAATTCTTGAACGATCACAAATTCAGTCACCCAAAATGGGGTTTTGAATTATTAAAAAGTACCAGCGTTCAAAGTTTTTAGCATTCAAAATTTAAGAGGAGAAAAGCTACGGCCTCAAAGACGAAGGGCCGGCACAAATCTGACGCTCAGAGGAAAAGCTCCCACGCAAATGAAGAGAAACTCTCGGAAGCACCAAGACAGGAATCAGTGAAGTGAGTAGCGGGAGCTTCTTCAGTACCTTGGGCTAAAATCCGGTATACAGATTGTAAAACGCATGACGTAATCATTTGCTCCCCTATTCTTCAGACTAATTCATCACTCTTCCTGTGGATGTTCAAGTTTCAAGACTGAAATATTCTATTTTATACAAAGTCGGTTCTATATAAACCACTTTTCTATAGTCAATTTGTTCAGATAAATTTCTGGGCTTGTTGTTGAAAATTTGCCCCACTTTGAACTGAACAACTTTTTCCCCGTTTGATTTGTCCGATAACACACTGCCCTTTCTGTGCCATCCCGTGTTCTTAACTGCTGAAGAATCAGTCTAGCCGCGAGCTTCCCTTCAATAATCCTCGCGATTTACTGTTAATTTCTTATAGAACCACAGTATAACTATCTATACTGTCTGCTCATGTCTACTTCAATGTCCAATTGCGACTGCTGAACAAACGCAGGTGAAATTCGTAGAATTTGGTTTTGCCGCAATTATTACTGACCGTCCGTCGTTGAGTTATACTACACGTTACCTGTCAGATAAGACACCTAGATCATGCATTTAGGCTAATTACCCAATTCCTTGCTTTTGGGCCACGGCCTTAGCATGGGATCTTACACAGATATTAGTGCTGCTAACCTCTACGGTGGCACACCTCTGCTATCTCGCGTTGCACGCGGTAGAGATGGTGTTAAATCGTTTGTCCCCAAACTGCTTCGGGTTTGCGATAGTTAATAGTCAGTCTGCCGTCAACAACCGTTCACAATCGCACTTGCAGAAACCTACGTGACACCACACGTCTCCGCGCAGTGATCTGTATACATGGCTACTCAATTTGTGAGCCAACCCAGAACGCGGAGGTTAAGTGTGGCTTCTATTTTACTCACATACCTTAATTACATAACCTATCCTGAAACACTAATGCACCGGTTTGTGATGCATTGCGGATTCGGATCCCACCTCATGGAACCGATTCTCCTCACATCGGGGTGGTCTATTGTAACTCCTCCCCCCTATCAAACCCCGTCCTTGTCCGAGCTAGCTGTTTACTGCGACTATCTCATAAACTCGATATGCGTTGTAATCCCTCGTTGAACTTTTATCCTTCGACATATTGAACCAATTTTGTCGACCATTTTTACGCGCGCTTTTTGACCATTTGGGTGTAACGCAGTTGAAACTCGACTGTATCTGAATGCACATCTATCACATGAGCTTATGTGTCTCTCCCCCTCTCTCTCCCTGTTGCAGGGACCATGGTCGAACCACCACGTGCCTGTGCGCATGTGTGCTGTGTATACTGTGTGGATTCATTAATACCAGTCCATATATCTGCACATTTCAGAACCGACGTGTGCCGTCGTATCGAACGTCGAATGCCGCTGACTTCCTGACATCCCACGCTACATGGGTTATCGCGTATCAGGCGGGGGCGTGTGCCGCTTACCGGGTTATCCCGTATCAGGCGGGGGCGTGTGCCGCTTACCAAGATCGGTTCGCCACCTTCCCCGGGCTTTCGTTGGGCTAGGTTTACTGCCTGAAATAATTAAGACAGAAACCCCAATAACTTGAGGTTTGTACCCATTTTATTACATATTATATATATTTATATAGTACCGCATTTCATTGATAGATCTGAAATACCCACAATTTATTGTTTGTGATTTTGCGCGGCACTCAAGTGAGCTTCCTCAAATTCGCCGACGTATTCTACATCTGCCTTTGAAATCCAGGGAAACAGAAAGATGACTAGTTCCCCACACAAACCCTTGAGCGATTTTTCTTCGACTATCACTTCTTGCATCCTTGATGGTGGATCATTTTACCGCTCCTTAAGCCTCCCGGATGTAGCGTCAGCACATCGGGTCTAGCGAGCATTTTGCATTGATGCTCACCAAAGTCGTTCAACAGAAGGCCTGGGCTCAAAAAATCATTGCCCACGCCAGATACCGCATATGCCACCCAACATCCTAACTGGATTCAACTATCAGCAACCATCAGCAGGTTTAGAACGTCACATTCCTAATAGGAATGATGACGCTGTGTCGATGATTTACCTCGTGACGTTGTATTATCCACAGGCTAGTTATGCATATCTGGGAAGGGGATCATCCACAGAGATAGTCTTCGCATCGCCACTGCACATTTCGTGCTGTCATCTAGCAATGTTGTGATCACTGGAAGCTGAGCTCCATGGGAAAATGTGTTGTGACGTGGTTCGTTGAACAAAATCATCTCATTTGTCCAATCTTAGGAGTGTAAAACAAACAACATCAGTGACTGAATTCCAAGGGTGAAACTAGCATTAGGTATATTGTGGATGTTATTTTATTCTTGATGAAAATGGAAGAACGCCAAAATATGCTAAAGTGCGATTTCGTGTTTTGTCTCTCGTAGGCCTTAACAAAATAGGAATTGGTGATGGTCGATGACCTTGAAACTTTGCTCACTTAAACAAACAACCATAAGCTGCATGTCACAGAAACGTAAAAATGGGTAAGACTAACTACCGTTAAAGGTCGCAATTTTAAAAACCATATATTTTCGATTTTAGCGCGCAGCACTTCAGCGGTGGCTTTCGGTTTAACTTCGAATTGGTTGGCCGGATTACACTAGCTCTGCTGCTTCAGCAGTCACCTTGTTCTGGTTTCTCATTTCTCAAAATTTGCTGTTTTCTTGCCGTGTATCAGGCAAGATGCCTGTTGTATTGCTCTCCCTAATTTTTTGCCCACTATTTTCTAATAATGGCGTCTACATTAATGCCGGTTTTCAGTATTCGCACAATGGAACTGGATTCCCAAAGGCTACGACGCGACCCTGATGGAAAAAAGGGACAAGAGGTCGAGTTTTAAGTACGAGTTCAAACTTTCGAACACCGTCTGGGCATCGCAGGGTCTCAGCGTTGTTAGGGATGCATTACACCAAACTTTCCCGCTACCCGTTTGATTGTCTCATTGGACACGGAAATTCGATGGGCTGTGAAAATATGAAGGTAGATTAGGATGGTTTTTGGTTTGAGCACATACGCCACAAAATGCAACCATTTGGAGCAAATTGGTTTATTCAGCTCGTAAAGCTTTTGCAGCTAAAAGCAATGTGTGGCCGATGGGTCCCAACAGTACCCAATACTTATGATGCTTTCGCTCTTCCATGCAGTCCCCTGTACTCACAA